GGACTACAGCCCACTTCTTCGGATGGGCTGTAGTCCACAAAAGCTTATGCTCTAATAAATTTGTTAGTCTCTAAGGTGCCACAAGTACTCCTGTTCTTTTTGCGGATACAGACTAACACAGCTGCTACTCTGAAACCTGTCAGCTAGATACTGGATATTATAGAACTCTTCAGTTCTTTCTCAATCACCTGCAGCTTGGAGTGGCACAGGTCCATTCCTCTTTATACGCTCTCTCATCAGAGCTTAGGGTGTTGTATGGCACAGGCATAGACCCGAGGGTACTACTAGCAGAAAAATCTCAGAGTGCACGGGCACACACACATCCTCAAGGGGAGCACTCATGGGGCAATAACTTGAAGATATATGTTAGGTAGTTTAACTTTTCATTTCCTTACTTTTGTGAGTTCATGCCAGGTATGCAGTGTGTTGCTTCACAACAAAGTGTTTTCTATATTATTTATATAAATCCTTTTAACCTCATCCCTGCCTCTCTTTGGTTTATTCTCAATCCTCACTTTTCACATCATACCTACATTTTTATTGCAAGTTCTTCAGGATTGCGATCTATTTTATTTTGCAAGGTGCCCAACACATGAGATAATATTATTAATTACGCCTAGGGGAATACTGCACCACTGCGCATGCACATAATTCATAGGAAAAGGTATAGAAAAGGGCAACAAATTATATGGGGTATGAAATTGCTTCCATATGAGGAGAGATTAAAAAAGACTGGTACTGTTCACCTTGGAAAAGAGACAAATAAGGGGTGGGGGGAACACAATAGATTTTTTAATATCATGGTGTGGAGAAAGTGACTAGGGAAGTGTTATTTACCCCTTCCCGTAACCAGAATCCACCCAATGAAATTAATAGGCAGCAGATTTAAAACATAAGGAAGTACTTCAGCATGCAACCCACAGTCAGCCTATGGAACTCATTGCCAGGGGATGTTGTGAAGGTCGAAACTATAACTGGGTTAAAAAAAAAAAAAGAATTAGTTCATCAGCCATGATGGTCCAGGATGCAACCCCCTGCTCTGGGTGTTCCTAGCCTCACTGCCAGAAGCTGGAAGTGGACAACAGGGTATGGATCCGTTGATAATTGCCCTGTCCTGTTCATTCCCTCTGAAGAACCTGGCATTGGCCACTGTCAGAAGACAGGAAATTGGTCTAGATGGACCATAGGTCTGACACAGTATGGTCATTTTATGTTATTTAAAAAAAAGTGGAGGGCTAGAATGGATTCTCCAGCAGAGTAGAACGGTTACTTACCTTCTGTAACTGTCTGTCTTTCTGATCGGTCTTACACCTGCTGCCAGGATTGAGTGTACAGGTCCGCCGTTCTCGGAGG